AAAAGAAGAATGGATCGCAAGTCGCGTGGCAAAGAGAAACGAGTTCAAAGCAGTGTGGGGCTTTCAAGCATTAGTCGAGGCCTTTCCACGAATGCCAATAACATTAATACACTTTAACAGTCCAGAACTTCAAACCGTCAGCGGGGACTTGTTTCCTTACCAAATTATCATCTTCAAAAGGCAAGATGGGTGAAGCCACCGACCTCACTCGGTAGGTCTAGCGGCCCCTTACAATCTGGTCGTTCTTAATATTAAAGATCTACGTATGTACGTGTATGTTTAGAAATAAAATCGACATGACCCGGCAAACATTTTCTGATTTAGCTGTGCCAAGGTTGTCCTACTTTTTAAAAGTCACTGTTATCGCACTTTGTTTGCGTAATTCGTTCAAACTCTGCAAAGAATGGATCTCTTCAAGCCTTCGCACTAACTACTTTCTGTCATCAACAGGTCCATGGCGTACAGCCAGTGACCTCCTCGCATTATACTGGTCGCGCAGCAATAATGTACGGAACGCCATGCTAAAAATAGCTTGAACATCTGTGAGCAAAAATAGTATCGAAATGTCGTGTTGCAGAGTTCCGTTCATAAAGTATGCTTTAAATAAATAAATGTGACGTCGCTATTCAAGTTTTACCCTGCGAAGCATTCCTCAGCGAACTTCAGCGACTTCGAGCCCATCTATCTATCTATCTATCTATCTATCTATCTATCTATCTATCTATCTATCTATCTATCTATCTATCTATCTATCTATCTATCTATCTATCTATCTATCTATCTATCTATCTAGCTGTCTATCTATCTATCTATCTATCTATCTATTTATCTATCTATCTATCCTTCTATCTATCAATCTATCTATCTATCTATCTATCTATCTATCTATCTAGCTAGCTATCTATCTATCTATCCACTCATCTATCTTTCCATTCATTTATCCATCTATCTATCTAGCCTCCTACGACTTTTAGCTTTCGAGGCCCTCTCGGCAATGGTATCAATACCCAAATTGCTATGGCATAACATGACTGTATGATGAGAAAAACTGACTAGTCATAATATGAAAATATTGACATGTATGTAATGAATATCATGATTACATTATTGTTTGGCTGCTCTTGCGGTGGTTCCGTGTGTTCACATGACATTTCGACTAACTGATATGGTATGTCGTAACTGCATACTGAACATAAGCGACAGATCCTAACGGGGAAATCACGACATGCATGTCACAATTTTCATGTTATGAATTGTTATGGCTACACTCCACGCTCATGGTGTGCTCGCGGTCATTTCACTAGCTTGGCATATACCAATTTGATATTACGTGACATAAATTGGTGACGAAGGTACAGGCCTGGTTTAAACATGATAATCATGACATGCGTGTCATGTGAGAAATGAATACACGCCACGTTCTTGATGCGCTCACGGCCGTTTCTCCAGCTTCACGTATTCCCCAAATAATTGTACGTGACCTCAGTGAATCCGAATGTATATGACTGGCGCAAAAAGGATAATCATGACCGGAGATTCATGTAAAAAAATGACAACATACCACGCTCTTGATGTGCTCGCGGCCCTTTCGTTAGTTTCACATATTCGAATTTGATATTATGGGGCGTGTTAGGGACGACGAAGGTAGATACCTCGTCCGAACATGATAATCATGACATGCGTGTCATGTAAAACATGACTACATGCTGCGCTCATAGCGAGTGCGCTGCCGTTTCGCTAGATTCACATATACTGAATTTGGTATCACGTTACATGATAGTCGACAAAGGTTAATGACGCGCCCAACCATGACAATCATTAAATGCATATTGTGTGAAACATAATTACATGCTACGTTCATGGTTTGCTCATGGTCGTTTCACTAGCTCTACATATACGAAAATTGGTATCAGATGACGTTATAGGACAGCGAAGGTAAATGACACGTCCAAAATTGATATCCTTGATATGCGTGTCGTGAAGGCAACAGACTTCAGGTTGAACATAACTTCAGGGCAATAACATAGGTTGGAATGCGGCAATATCAACCTTCCGCATTCGTGCTACATATATCATCAATTCCTCACAGTACGTGGGATCTCCCAGTATTTTTTTGGGGTCGTAGATAAGACTACTAAATTTGGTAATTACTAATGTTCTTTTTATTTTTATATTAGTTGTTAAATATTGTCATTATCAAAGATTGCATTTACCTCAATATACAACATAACTAAAAGCGAATTTGGCTTTTCTAAGGGCCGCCCACTCCGGTAAGCAACAGAGCACATATTCTAAGGGAAAGCACACAGACCACGGCAGTATACCAAGAGGACAATATGAGGCCGGAATTTCTCGTAAGGCGTTGGCTCAGTGTGCCAAAGGAAAATATTCATGACCAAGTTTTGGAATCCAGCGGGCCCAGACAGTAGTAGAAAGGCTATGTTTTATCGCACATAATGCCCAGGTGGCTTGAACCTACGCCGGCAGCCTTTCAGGCGCTTTTATAATAATGTTTTTTCCGTCCACCCAAGCACATTGGCATTTGGCTCAGAAGCTTGTACGCAGCGTTTATTGTGATTACTACTAGTAAAATAAAGAACATTTTTTACCATTCGGTTGGCTTTAAAAACCTTCATTCGAGTTGTTTTTCTGGTGGGCAAATACTATCTTCAATTTTTATCACGGAGAATAAATGCTTTCTGGTGACCATGTCGTTATGAGGTCAAGTCAGTGCTGATGCACAAGGCGACAAAAGAAAAAAAAAACTAAATTTGAAGGCGACACTAAGTGTCGACTACCTTGTCTTCTAGCGACTCTCGCACTTGGACGTTCGTGTGCCCTGGTTGTATTTCATTTTTCAAATTCATGCTTTATCACACTGCTTAAGGTGGTCTCAGAGGCCACACGAAACGATGCACTTTATCATCTACTCTGCGAGCCGCTACTACAATTGTAGCTGCTCAAAATGCTAACGACTGCTCTTTCAATCACCTAGATTTCTCATTTTCATGATTTACGTTTAAAGGGGCATGACTGTAACTTTAAGCGAACTGATACATCTACATTTTGTACTATAATTAAAACTCTTTACCTCAACCATAATATTCCAATTCTGGAAGAACTTTTCCGGACATTTAAAAAAAGCGGGAGTGATTCACAGGAATTGCATCGAAGAATAATAATGATGGCACTCGTCCCGAAGATAGAGAAAAGTTACAATGTTGACTGATTGATATGTGGGGTTTAACGTCGCAAATCACCATATGATATGAGAGACGCTGTAGTGGAGGGTTCCGGAAATTTCGACCACCTGGGGTTGCACCCAAATCTGAGCACACGGGCCTACAACATTTCAGCCTCCGTCGTAAATGCAGCCATCGCAGCCGGGATTTGAGCCCGCGACCTGTGGTCGGCAGCCGAGTGCCTTAGCCACTGGATCACCACGGCGGGGCAAGTTACAATGTAGTTTCAACTTGCCAGCGTAGACTACCAGCGAAGATATGCCATTTACATGAAACCATGTGAAAGGAAGTGGGTTGAACAAAAAATCAGCACATGCATGGCCTCGTTTGGGTTCGGGCTTCCGCCCAGCATACACAGTACGCTTCGCCTCCTCGTCTCCGTAGTTTTATCTGGCTGCTCTCATGAATACCGCTTTTCTTGCATGGTCTCCATCACCATTCGCAGCGTGTCTCCATTGTTCACCTTTGAAAACCGCTCTCCTGTCTGAATGTTTAAAGTTGGTTAGTGTTAAGAAATAAATCCACCTATGGCACAAGAAGGTGTTGATGGCCCCACATTATGCCTTAATGGCGGAAGGGGTCATATTGACGTCACTCCATTACATCCCCACTTCCTTAGTTTGTGAAACCCGGTTTGACCCCGGAATCACTGCAAAGGCATGCGACTTTCAGGAAGATGCCAATGCCTGCTATTCTAGGGTCAGTGAAGAGCCATTCAAGCAGCAGATAGCTTTTGAAAAGTATTTCTATGATCAACTGCGATACAGAAAGATGACTTTTTGTCCTAGTCACGATAGGCAAAAGCATAAAAGTCAGGGTAAACTTTTGAGGATTCGTCCTTCATTAGCATTACATCACATTAGGAACGTTGTAATTGTTTGTTTAGAAGCACAGATATTTGGGTGAGTTTTTACTGACCCATGCAGGCATATAAAAATGCAAAAAAGACAAGATACAAGAGCGCTAATTTGTGTAATCTGTCTTTCATTTGACTGTTGCGCGCTCCTAAATACAAACATGGTTCATAAGTCTCCTTTTAGAAAAGCAAGACTTAATTAGTTGCTGACCTCAGACGGCCAGTGGGACGGTGGATTCTTCCGCCTCTAAATCGAAGGTTTAGATAATAAAGCTATATAATTGAGACTGCACTGGTCGTTCCGTGTTTCTGTTGATGAAGAAGACGGCAGTCAAACTGCTAAAGACTCGAGGTTTTATTCGGTGAGCTTGTAACAACCAGCTCAAGCAAGCTAACGCTCAAAATAAAATGATTGCGGTGAGTATGCTTGGTCGTCCTCAGTTGTACCGGTGGCACGAAAAGTCTGTGGCCTGAAAAGTCAGTGACCATACTGCGTGAGAGTAGCAGGTATTTTTTCCAGGACGGAAGGCTGCCGCTGAGTCTGGTCATCGTGAGGCCTTGGTATATCTAACTGCACCTAGCTGATACCAATCTCAAGTCTCGCCCACTCTCCTTCTTTCCTGGCCGGGCGATGTTACCTTCCTGATCGTCGATGACGCTGCTACAAAATTTGAAGAAAATTTGTCTGAAGCGCACTACCACCCAACCAAACCACTGGTGCGGTGTGTTGGCATGGACCTAATTACGACTCTTGTTAGACTAACTGTACTGAATTATAGTCAGGTCAAATAAACTTTAAATACACTCAGCCTAATTAACAGATCATATATCTAAATAATCATATCTATAACAGAAATGAGTCTGAGCAGGTGTGGTGGACCGTGGTAAAAAACGCCTTCGCGGTAATATATTGCTCATATTTATTGAACATCATACCTATATGAAATAAGTATCATGGCAGACACTTTGACTTCGTGTCAGAAACTTAGAGAGACTGCTCAGATGCTTTAAAATAATCGTACTGCCTACTAAACGTTCAAGCTTGTTTACATTATCTACATTTGTGACATTTCACTCTGTTTTTTGGCGAAATAAGCACTGGCATTCGATTGTATAGTTATAAGTTACATTTTGACCGGAAGCATAGCTGTTGAAACGATCCAGACATTCGGTATCTGGTCCTTTTTCCAATGAGGAGTTTCTAACCCTTACTTCTATCCATGTTTCTGGATCTGAAACCACAAACAAAAGTAGCACAGAGCCATTATATAATATCATAAATTCTTATGAATCATTTTCTCTGTTGTGAATATCAGGGTATGAATACAGCTCACGTATTTCCGTTGACATTCTTTCGTCTAGAACATATTTAACTTGAGGTGGCAGATACAGTAGATGCAAAGACACAGCAGAAATTCAACTCATCTAAATATTTGTTTTAGGTATTTTTATTGAAGCTCTGCTGGTTTCCGACTCAAAAATTATTAGGGGTGTTGCATCATTACATTTAAATGTGCATTCATGTAGGCGAGGAAATCTATTTAGGTCATAATTTCACTTTTTTGTGTCTTTTGTTGACTTAAAGATATGCATGAGTTTTTTTTATTTTTTCGTACTTTTCAAATAAGTCTTTCAGTTCGTGTCGCTATGGTCGCAATGCTGTTTCAGGGGCTCCCAAACTGACGTTGTTGTTGATTACAATAAGTCTGAAGCTAGGTTTGGCTATAGTAGTGAGTTTTCAGTACGCCTGAGCATAGGCGTATCTACCGGGAGGGCAAGAGAAGCAATGACTGCTGGGCGAGACGGTGAATCATCTTAACTTTGTCCAGGTGTTTTCCTTTTGTACTTTGATTTTTGACGCAACTCAGTTAAGAAAGGCTAAAATAGCTTGAGCCACCCCACCCCCCCTCCACAACAAAGTTGAAAAGGCCTGAACACCTCCCTTCACTTTCGACAGTGGTCCTTGTCAGCAACACACAGTCAAACAAATGACAGCGGTGAAGTTCTCCTTGAACTGAGCAATCATGTAATGATAGAACAAAATGTTATAGAGCATCTGTCCTACGCGTCTGCTGTCAACTTACGCGCCACGTGAACACAAACTCTAGGCTCTGCATTGCGGCTAAGGATGCACGGCCGGCTTCTTGGTTACCCATAGTATCCGAGGTATAACGCATCCAGGATGGGACAAAGAAGACGCAGAACACACACACAGCGCTAACTTTTAACGATGTAGTTCATTCCAAGAATCAACATTACATATATTCTAACACGGCGCGTAACAAACCACGTGCTCGAACCAGAAATCATGTATCTAAAGAGAATCACGCGACACTCAAGTATTCTATTTTTTTTTCACTGATAGTGATACATATGGCTTGCTGATACACGTGTCATCAAACTTGGCGATGAATGACGCTTCTATAATTAGTCTCTATATGAGAACAACATGACTATGAGAACATTTGCCTTTTCTTTTCAGAAATGTACTTTCCTATTCCCAGGCCGATTCTCAGAGTGCTTATGCGGTCGTGATGATAGTATTGGTAGTAGTGGTCGATATAATAAAAGTAGCAGTAGTAGCCGAAATAAATCTAATAATAATAATATTAAGAACAACGGTAGCAGTAGTAGTAGTAGTAATAGTAATAGTGATGGTGGTAGTAGTATTAGTAGTAGTAGGAGTGATAGGACAGCTGCTAATACAAATGCGGATACTGTGCAGAGAACCACTAGGCATGCGCGGCCATGTTAGAAAAAAAAAATTTATCAGACATATTATTACAGTTGAAACGTTCAAGGAAATATTACAACGGAACAGTAGAAAGTGCAAAAACGTCTCACAATATCTTGAACATACCGTTTAAGTCACGGTGAAAATTCATATAAAAAACTGCACATAGGTCATCCTTGGTCTGGTAAACTATTGTCTCAAATGGGTTGCGAACGCCTGAAATGATGGTTGATGAAAAAAATTAGTATTTGTGTAGTTATTTGTAAGAGCAGTTTTTTTTTTCACTTGGACGTGAGCTGTTCCAGCTGATAATACAAAAATATTTTTTTTGGTCTTATAATTACGAATACTTTAGTGTTATCAATATTTTATGAAAATAGTTGAGTCCGTATGACTAATGTGGAGCAATGGTATTATAAAGGTAGCGAGAACACAATACTCTAAGAATAACACAGTTTACACTACGGGAATAAAACGTGGTGAAACTTTGAAATCGAGGGGCCTCCTGTTTTTTTAGAGAAAAAGCAAAAGAACTTAAGATCCCAGTGAGATATCCTTACCTAGTATTCTATAGGTTAGCGGTTCTCTTAATAGTAGCAATGTGTTTTGATATCCGCACGGGAATAACTTTACGCCTAACGTTTTGGGCCATACAGCAAAGCGAAGATACCGCCCGGGTACAAGGACTTCGAGCCATCACCTGAGGCATCGCTATCATAATCAACGCCGGGTGGGACGGCGCAAGGATTGTACCCCTGCTCTTCCGCCTTGCCCGTAGGACTGTCCGACCCTTTTTAAATAAAGTTCATTCATTCATTCACTCTACAGTTGTATTCGAATACACATTATTTCAGGTTGGCGGTGGCCTGAACAACGCAAATTCAAAATTAATGAGTGAATAACACGATATATTTGGAGAAATAATTATTGCTCATACCATGACCTCCGAGATGGAGAGCCCGTAGCATGTTTCCGTGCAGCCGTCCCGATAGCTGCGCTTTCCACCAAAACAAACGAGTATCATTTCGTGCGCCCAGCTACCGCGAGATGGCGCAGATTCCGGCGGTAGCGGAGACCACGGCAGAGAGCAGAGCGCACGATATTACAGAGTGCGTGTGTGGTTTCTTTTTTTTCGTGTGCGAGCAACAATCACCGCTAGAACATTCTGGCTGCACTGAATTCAATTTTTTTTTCTGCAACTGCATTCATTTTGGTCCAATTTACGAAGACAAGCGTGGTAACTGCCGAATATTCCGGTTACTTATCGTTGTAAGAAAATGTGAATTCGTTTATCTTCGTTTTACTTTTTTTTCATTATGGACCGTTTTATTTTGGTGGTAAATTCTTCGATTTGAAAAATATAGTGATTCTAGCATTCATTCTTGCTAGAGACATGCATTGGGGAAAACTGGGTTATAGTTATCGTAGTTTAATCATATCGCCCTCCTATTGTGACACATCGTTTAAGTATTTTATCCCGTACGGATATTTATGAGGTGGTCAACGAAAGCGCAGTTGCGCTCTAAATAAATCAGCCCATAGTCATTTAACTGAATTAAGGTGAAAAGTAATTTTGGTGCAATAGTTTGGAAGGCTTCAATTATCCGACCTACATTTACCACCAGTCTGTCGCAGAGAAAGTGCCTGAGTTGTCATCGTCTCAATTTTTGTCATCTGCATTTTATTATGTTTTGGTATCACAATGAAATATCAGTATCAGTTTCAATTACTGTCCCATAGGCTGCATCCAAATCTAAGGGTCGCAGCCACACATTTGGCGGAATGGCATGTTTCTCAAACTACGTATTCGCCAACGTAGAGTAGTGAAGAAAGAAAAAGTCTGAATAGTCACTGCCATGTAACGCGCAGTGTTTTACACCAGATACAGCAAACTCTGAAAGCGTCCTGTGTTATTCTTGAACAAACAAAAGGTCTCGATGTTCGTTCCTACATCGCCCAACAAATCCACCGGACACCGTACAATTGACAGTGCGAATGGGCACCCGTTCACACTGTGACATCTGCGCTGCTGTGATTACATCAGCATGTCTGCAACAACTGTTGATATGTTGCCACAATGAAAAGCAGTGCTATTTAAATGAAAGGAAAGCCCAATGATACAATTTATTTGATCGAGTGTGACCCGTGAGCGTAGGACGCGACACTCTTTTGACCTCGCTTGTGGATCGGGATCCCATTTTTTTTTCTTATTCGCCAGTGCCCCCTCTACTCTACATCCGGCAAACTTGAAAGTATAGTAAAGTTACAGCTTATGCGCATCTTTTGCAGAGGCATCGAACTCATAAGCGCGGTGCAAATCTACAGCAAAAAAGCCCATTTGAGAATATATACGCCCGAAAACGCACTTTGCCTCTCGTACCTCGGCTCGACATTTTCAAATGAGCTCGAAGTTACATAAAAGTGCAAAACCAATCTTTCTTGCCACATGAAAGCTTCACTAACAGCGCGGCAGCCTTTTCGTTCATAAGAAAGAGCGCCGCGGTGAAAAAAGCGGGCCATGCCCACTTCTGAAAACGTGCTCTCTCCGTGCGATTGCGATCGCCGGAGAGAAACTTGCCACTCGTCCGCCATGTCGAAAGACATTGCCCTACTAAACTGCAGTCCGCACCCGCCTGATGAGAATTATTTTGTGAATTACGCCATTTTTGAACACCCCGTGTGTGAGCTGGTGGAGTAGTGCGTTCATGCGTCGGTGTCCCTTAACAAGTCCACTTTCCACAGCATTAGTCTATCGCACTGTTTGCAATATCTCAGCTGTTTTTCATGGCACTTTGCATATTCTACGTGCACCAAATTAAGCAGGCTTATTCAAAAGACTGTGAAATATTCTATGGGCATTTAGGAGGTGAAACGTATTTGTTCTAAGTCAATGTTCTGTGCCTCAATGTAGGTGCATATGGGATGGTGCACGTATAAATATCGAACGTATGCTCAGCGAGCGGGGTACGATACACTTTCTCATTGTGTAGGTGTTAAGTTTGGCACCGCATGTTTTTATACACGGAAACCTTGTTGCGGCCTCATGGTATACTAAGAGCTTTACTGCGCTTGGCAGCGTGACAGAGTCAGTGCGCTCTGGAAAACTGAAGCTGAGAAGTAGGGAAAGCAATATTCGTCAGGTGTATTGCCACTTCCTCATAACTAATATTGCACATTCAAAACCACAGTGTGAAGAGTTCAACGACTAGGGACTGAACTTTCCGAGGCCGTCATTTGTCACTTAGTATTGTTGTTTCACCCCTTAGTTCCTGCTCCTCTTTCTTGACTGCAGTCTATCATACACGAAGCATAGCCTGCTAGTACGGCAGCCGATAGCGAAACACTGTCGCACATTGAATGTTGTATGAACTGACGTAGCAAACGACAAGAGGGCGATGACCTCGTATACGTGGGATGAGACTGTGAGAGCAGAACGGTTTAGCCCTCCATTTTCTCTCTGGTAGCACAAAAAAAGCATATATTAATGGCTGCTCTAAAACACAAGGGTATTTCCAATCCAATAAACTTCTCGAGCAGCCGTATAGCGCCCTATTGTAAAGTCAGCGAATTTTTTTCATCTTGCTTCTTTGTTCTGTCCAGCTTGCCCCCTTCTTTGCCTTGATTTATCGACTGATATGTGGGGTTTAACGTCCCAAAAGCACCATATCATTATGAAAGACGCTGTAGTACAGGGCTTCGGAAATTTTGACCCTTCTTTGCCTTAGTGTCCCTGTTTGGTGGATAAAGCAATGATTGCGGCTGCCCCTTTTGCAGTCTATTCGCGCACCAGCTATGTCTCAAAGGCTTCTCGTAGGATACCACCTTAACAGACTACATACGCATTTTTTTTTGTTGCCCGTGAACACTGGCACATACCCACTCTGGGATATTGACCCAGAAAACTTGCAGTAGCCTATATGAGAGCACTATACAACGATTGTAAGTCTATTACTAAAATGCACAAAGAAAAAAAAGAAATTGCAATTGACATTTCAGGAATAACTTAAAAAATGATGAAATAATATCAATCAAAGGAAATCAGAGCTAATACTGTAGCAAAATACTGAAATTTAGGCTGACCAAACAGTTGAGTTTACTGCCGTTAGATGCCTTGAGGGTGTGCTTCCTCCGCTATTTCCCGTTTATTCGCATTTCCTGTTGTCCTTAAACAATATATATTAAATACCATGTCCTTCTCCTCATAAAGGTTTCCTACCTTCAATCGCTAACATTTCCGCTTCCTTCGAAAGCTTCAAAACAATCTTCAAAGAATATTTTCTTTTTAACAAAGCCTAAACTATCTCTGAATTGTGAGATCATATGCCTTAAAATTTGAAACGAACATTACTGGTCATATTCAGATTTCATTTAGAAGCCAAGTATGAATAATATTTACCTTTTTCTTCGAATTTCATTTCATTGTACGGTAGTGTGTGATCTTCAAATAAGAAATGGTAACCGTATGTGACTTCGCCAGTCTTTTCATATCTAAACAAGAGAAAGGAATGTACTTTATTGCGATAGCTTTCCGTTTTGTCACTATAGCTTACCTAGAACCGTTGAAGACATGATATCGTGTCATAAAAGCGCCGATAATATATGTGTACTCAACTGCATCGACCATGCATGAATTAGTAGTTTTTTGCGTACTTTTGTATACCCATATAGTCTCATTTGTATTCAGAAACTGGAAATAGAGGTTTGGTAAACAAAATAAATTTTAAATTTGGGTACCGCAAATGAAAACTTCTCTACCAAAGAAGGACAAAAAGGCACACAACATTCACACACGTGGGCCGGCGTTTCTTTTCTACCATTTTGTTGATGCTAAGTTTTAATTTTTAGCCTCACATATGAATAACCAGTACGACTATTCAAACACTGTTGCAGTTTTCGTAGTTCATGTCAGGACCTTCTGTGGCACCCATGGTCGTTGTAAGGCGCAGGGTACATCCAAGTTGACCAATCGTTCCAGAAAAATCTGACTGTGGCGTCAGGATTATTTAAATAAAGCATCTCTCACCTCACATACATATTGCTGCACTCTGTTTGGAAAATAATTTTGATACAGATAACAACAAGTTCTACTATCGACACTGGGTCTTTCTGGGAGTTATTTGACGTCTGCAACTCTTCAAGGCTAGGGCTTCGGCTGTGTGTAGAAATAAATTCAGAGGCATATAATCTACGCATGACCAGTCCCTTTACTACTATCA